TTCTTTGTGAATGATTCTAACTTTGCAGATTTGATGCTTACTGGCTTCAACAAATGGCTTTTTGAGCACATGAATAAAATGATATAAAAAATTTTTAAGACACTAAAAAATATATTAAAGTATATTTGAAGCATTCAGAGCAAAACTTAGGAGAGTGAGGTTAAGTATGGTTCCCTGTGTGATGTTTAGTTGGTGTTATAATTTTGAATACTAAAGAAGACTTATTAAGTTGGGTAGAGTAATGTCTATGTCTATTTGGAGAAATACATCCTTATTTTGAAATACTCCAAATGAAAATTTCTGTTGGATTCAAAATTCATCAACATTTGTTACAAGAAATTTCAATATCGCATCTGACTGAAAGAAAGGATCTAACTATTGGTGGGAAAGGAGTTTTAATCGGTTAAAAAAATACTCTTTGACCATTTACTACCACCTAGTTATGCAAATGGAACCCTGGTGGCAGTTAAGCGCTTGGCTGCTAACCAAAAGATCAGCAGTTTGAATCCACCAGCCGCTCCTTGGAAACCCTATGGGGCAAGTTCTACTCTGTCCTGTTGGGTCGCTATGAGTTGGAATAGACTCGATGGCAACGGATTTTTTGTTTGTTTGTTTTTTGGGGTTTTTTGTTTTTTGGTACTTATGCAAACAGTTTCCTGTTGATGGTGACTACAAAGAGATAGAAGACATCATGTAGCTATTTCAAGCATAGAACCTGGGTCTCTGCTTGGCTATGGCAGGAACAAATGAGTTATGAAAGGCAGGTGGAAAAGGGAGGCACAAACAAGCAGTTGTTCCATTTCTAAAGAAAGGTTGGTATGGTGTGAAAGCATCAGCCATATTGAAGACAGAAACTGTGCCTGATGTTTCAAAGAAGCCAAAATGGTATCTGATGCCCCCAAAGCTGGTGTTTTTGAGGTGAGCTTGGTGACCTGCAGAACCACGCAGCTACGTTTCATAAATTCAAGTGAATTACTGAGGATATTAGGGAAAAATGTGCCTGAACAACAAATAAAGAATGTCTGCCTTGAGCATTATGCTCTTTTCAGATCTATCTATATTGGATCAAATTGACGACAACAACTCGAAAGATTAGATAGGAAGCTTACGGGGCAGTGAGTTTATGTTAATGGAGAGGGAATAACTTGGAAAAGGAGGGTGAGAATGGTTGTGCAACTCAAATAATGTAATAAATGTCACTGAATTGTACATGTAGAAATTGTTAAAAGTCTCTAATTACCTCACTGAATCTCCTATGGGTTGTTATACCCAAGCATTTACATATAGGAATACAAATTATTTTCTTAGAAATCACTTTCATTTTATTTCTTATTTAAATTATAGTTAAGGCACTATATGCATTATCTTCTGAAATTACATGTGTAAATAGGTTATATTATCTAAAAACTTCCTTTCCGGAGAGAAAAGGTGTGAATAATGCCTCCAGGAAGGATGTGTGCGCACGTGCTAGCGTCCCTGTGTGAGCTGGTTGCTGTCTGTAACTCTCCATAGCGGTAGGATATGTGTTTATGTGAGTCTTTGAGTGTGTAGGTATTTGTGTAAGGAGCCCTAGTGGCGCTGTGGTTAAGCGCTCAGCTGCTAACCAGAGGGTTGGCCGTTTGAACCCATGAGCCGCTCCTCAGGAGAAAGTTGTAGGAATCTACTTCCGTAAAGATTTACAGCCTTGGGAACCGTATGGGGCAGTTCTACTCTGTCCTACAGGGTCACTGTGAGTCGGAATCAACTCCATGGCAACAGTTTTTTGGGGGGTCTTGGGGTTTTTTTGTTTGTTTGTTTTGATTTGTTTGCTTGTTTGTTTTAGGTATCTGTATATGAGGCTTTCTGGGCGCGAGTGTGAATGTGTTACGCGCATGCCCACGTCGTCTTAGCCTCCGATGAGCCCGGGCTGTGGACGCCAGTCTGCTCAGGAGAGACCTCTCCTCGATTATTTATCAGATCTCCCCAGCTTTCCTGGCAACAGCAGGGTTTTGTTTGTTTGCTGCTATTATTTTTTGTTTCTTTGTTTTAGTTTTTTATTTCACTGAGACTCTGGCTTCACATTATCTGCCTTCTCAGTCTTAGTGTGTCTGTGTCTTCCTCTCTCTTTATTTCTGTGTCTCTCTCCAGCTCCTCTCTACATCTGTCTCTCACTCCCCACCCCACACTATTTCAATCTTTTGCTCTATCTTTCCTCCCACATGTTATCCCTTTCCCTCTATCTCCGTGCCTTTCTCTCTCTCTCCTCTCCTCTCTGATTTTTTTCTCTTTCTCTCTATTTCTATCTCTATTTATCTCCCTTCTCTGTCTTGCTCTCTGTTTCTGTATGTGTGTGCCTCTCTTTTTATCTTTCTCTTTCTCTCTCTCCTTCCCCTTTCTGTCTCTATTTCTATCTCCTTCCTCTCTGTGTGTAAGACTTTCTCTCATTTCTATTTGTTTCTCTCCCTCTCTCTCTTTCTCCCTCCTACGACTCTTACACACACACACCTCTCTCTTTCTCTCTCACTCTGTCTCCCTAACTCTCTTATACTCAGCCTCGCTCTGTCTCTATCATTTTCCCCCTTGCCTCCCTTCAAGGCTAAGGAGTGTGTATGTATATGTGTGTGTGCACATTTACACACATAGTTCTGTGGGGGGTATCAGGTCAGGCCTTGAAGGGCTGAAAGGGGTCCACCAACCGCCCTTCTCCCCAGCCCCTACCCTAGCACCCTCTCGTGGCCTGCTGGCACAGACTCTGAGACTTTGGGGTGCCATCAAAAAAGCCTGGTCCCAGGTGGCTGTGGCAGGCCAGGCTGGATTGAGCTGGGAATCGGTGCAGAGAGGAAACTTTTTTCCTGGGAGGAAGGGTGTAGGAAGACATTCACTCAAGCCCTACCTCCCCCAAACTCTAGCCGATTCCCAGCCCCAACAGTAATTCTGAGCTTCTCCAGCTTCTTCCGCCCAAGTTGCCTTGCTGCCTTCCTTCTGGGACCTGCCCTGTTACCTTATCACATCCCCACACTCCCTGCCCCCAGCCCACATACACCAGGAGTTCTCCTATTTCCCCCTAAACCTTGCCTGTGCCACTTCCACTGCCAGATGCACTCCCCAGGCCTCTCTTTCAGTTACATCTTACCTGGATGCCTCTAGGAAGCCCCTCTCTGATGCACCAGCCCATTTGGTCCCCCAATCAATTAATATGACATATTTTTACTGAGAGCTTACCATATGCTATGTATTGCTCTTCTAGATGAGAGTGAGTGAAAGAGTCTACAATCCCTGCCTTCGTGGTGCTTTCATTCTAATCAGGTAAGTCAGGCAATAAACCAAAATTTAAAAAGTAAATTATACAGTGTGTTAGAAGGGATAAATTCTATGAAGAAAAATAAAGCAGGGAAAGGGACATAACAGTGCTATTATCTCTCACCTAGATTGCTGCAGGAACCTCCTAAGTAGTCTCCCTGCTTCCACCTTTGCCCTGCATCATCTGTTCTCACAGCAGCAAGCAGGATCCTGTTAAATTCTAAGTCAGATCATGTCTTTCCTCTGCTCACAACCCCATGACTCCCATCTCATTCACAGTAAAAGTCAAAGTCCTCACTATGGCCTCCATGGTCCAGCCTCATCACCTCTCTGACCTTACCAACCACCATTTTCACCCTCACTCTGTTCCACCCACACTGGCCTCCTGACTGTTCCTCAAATGCGCCAGGTATAGTCCCACCTCAGGGCTTTTGCTCTGGCAGTTCCCTCTGCCTGGACTTATCTTCCCCCAGATATCCACATGGCTCACCCTCTCCTCTCCTTCAGATCTTGCTCAGATGACACCTCCTCCATGAAGTCTTCCCTATCACCCCATCTAAAATTGCAACACCTCTTCCACCCCTAGCACTTCCTATCTCACTTCCTGGCTTTACTTTTATTCTTAGGAACGTATCATTCTCTAACATAATTTATCTATGTATCTTCTTTATTATCTAGAATGTAAGCTCTACAAGGCCAGGGATTTTTGTCTGTCTGGTTCATAGCTGTATTTCCAGTGCCTAGAACAGTGCCTGGCACACAGTAGATGCTCAATAAATACTTTTTTAATGAATAAATGAATACACACAAGCATACTTACATCTTTATATTCACACATACTCCCCACCACACTTAAAGTAAAAGCTAAAGTCCTCATCATGGCCCACAAAGACCTACATGATCTAGCCTCCAGACACCTCTCTGATCTCACCTCCTATCATATCTCCCTTGCTCACTGCATTCCAGCCACACTGGCCTTTCAGCTGTTCCTCAAGCATGCTAAGCACATTCCTGATCATAAATAAAGAAATCCATTTAGCAGGTGGCTATGAGCACTTTAAAAAAAAGAAATAGAATAGAAACTAGTGAGGTACATTACAATAGGGTCAGTACTATTTTGTGAAACTTGTTTCAGAGTTGTGTGTGTGTATACTGGGTCATGATGTAAAATATATTTCTTACTATGGGTGACATTCAAAAAAGTTTGAAGAACACATGAGGGCTTTATAAAAGGGAAGAAAGGCTGAAACAACATCACCACCTCACAGACCCACCAATGGAAGGAACAGGTAACCGAGGACAGCCAGAGAGATGAAGCACCTTCACTCAGCAAAGAGAGGGTAGGACCAGGAGTGGGCCAGGGGCAGGGCTTGACACCAGCTGAGGAGTAAGGGGGTGGGGCACACAGACACACTAACACTGCCTTTCTGTTTCTCCCTCACCTTTCCTTTCCATTGTTTTTCACTGTCTGTTACTGTTTTGTCTCTCTTGCTCTTGCTCTCTTTGTCTCTCTGTCTCTATCTCTCTCTTTATCCTTCTTCACTCATCCCCTCCATTTCTGTCTCAATTTCTAACCATTTATATCTTTGTTGCCATTTTTTTTGTTCTCTTTCTTTCCCACTGTTTCTGTGTCTCTGTGTGTTTTTCTCTCTCTGTCTCTTTCCTATCCTCATCTCTCTGTCTCTCTGTGTCTATGTCTCCCCCAATATCCCTCCTTGCAGGCGCAACCCAGCAAGTCAGCTGATGGAGTCGCACAGGGCCCCTGGAGTACCAGACTGGCTGACCCCATAGGGTTGAGAGCAGACTCTGCCCCTCAGTATGGCCAACACCACTGGAGAGCCCGAGGAGGTGAGCGGCGCACTGTCTCCGCCATCAGCATCAGCTTATGTGAAGCTGGTGCTTCTGGGATTGATCATGTGTGTGAGCCTGGCAGGCAATGCCATCTTGTCCCTGCTGGTGCTCAAGGAGCGAGCCCTGCACAAGGCTCCTTACTACTTTCTGCTGGACCTGTGCCTGGCCGATGGCATACGCTCTGCAGTCTGCTTCCCCTTTGTGTTGGCTTCTGTGCGCCACGGTTCCTCATGGACCTTCAGTGCACTCAGCTGCAAGATTGTGGCTTTTATGGCTGTGCTCTTTTGCTTCCATGCGGCCTTCATGCTCTTCTGCATCAGCGTCACCCGCTACATGGCCATTGCCCACCACCGCTTCTATGCCAAGCGCATGACACTCTGGACATGTGCAGCTGTCATCTGCATGGCCTGGACCCTGTCTGTGGCCATGGCCTTCCCACCCGTCTTTGATGTGGGCACCTACAAGTTTATCCGTGAGGAGGACCAGTGCATCTTTGAGCATCGCTACTTCAAGGCCAATGACACACTGGGCTTCATGCTTATGTTGGCTGTGCTCATGGCTGCCACACATGCTGTCTATGGCAAGCTACTCCTCTTCGAGTATCGTCACCGAAAGATGAAGCCAGTGCAGATGGTGCCAGCCATCAGCCAGAACTGGACATTCCATGGCCCTGGGGCCACCGGCCAGGCTGCTGCCAACTGGATCGCTGGCTTTGGACGCGGGCCCATGCCACCAACCCTGCTGGGTATCCGGCAGAATGGGCACACAGCCAGCCGACGGCTGCTGGGCATGGACGAAGTCAAGGGTGAAAAGCAGCTGGGTCGCATGTTCTACGCGATCACACTGCTCTTCCTGCTCCTCTGGTCACCCTACATCGTGGCCTGCTACTGGCGAGTGTTTGTGAAAGCCTGTGCCGTGCCCCACCGCTACCTGGCCACTGCTGTTTGGATGAGCTTCGCCCAGGCTGCTGTCAACCCGATCGTCTGCTTCCTGCTCAACAAGGACCTCAAGAAGTGCCTGAGGACTCACGCCCCCTGCTGGGGCACAGGAGGTGCCCCGGTTCCCAGAGAACCCTACTGTGTCATGTGAAACAGGCTGGTAGGCAGGCAGGCAGAGAGAAGGTTATGGCCACCATAATGGGGCCAACAGCAAGGGAGGGGTGGGGCCCCATACAGGAGCCTTCCTTTCTGAGCTCTAGCCCCAGCCCCTCAAACCACCCATAATCTAATCACCTTTGCCAACACCTCCCCAGGGTTAGGACTGGGGAAAAGGCGTTTCTAGTTTCAGGGGGAGGGGCTGTCTCTGCCGCCTCATTCTTTTCTTCTTTTTCTTCTTCTTCTTCTCCTTCTTTCGCTCTCTCTCTCTCTCCCTCTCTCTTTCTTTCTCTTTCTCTCAAGTGACAATTCAGAAAAAGAAAACAACTGAAAATGCAGGTTTTTCTACTAACAGCTGAGAAGACAGGCTTTCTTGCTTTAATGTCCCTCCTTCTGACATTGTCCAGAGGAGGATAGTTTGTCCTGTAAAATAGACTTCCAGAGCTCTTATTGCCCCCTCTGCTCCCATGAACCCCCCTCTTCCAAGTTCTTTAATGAGGCCTGGATGCTTTAAAGAGAAATTGATCCAAAGCTTCTGACAAAAGGGACCAAAAAGGGTGCTGGGTCCCAGGAAGCATGGGTGTTTAATTGCTATGTTGCGTGCAATGTTGTTTTAGATCCCAAGCCCAGTCTCTTTCCCTCCTCACCATGTCCAGACCTCCCAAGTGTTTTTTGAGCATCTGTTTGAGAAGCTAGGAGGGTATAGAGAGGGGCCTTCAGGGATGGGCCCAGGCTAGGTGAAGAGCAGGATGCGAGCTAAACTGCATTCTCTCAAGCTGCCTCCTCTATCCCCAACCCCCAACTATTCTTTCTGAGGATGGAAATCCACTCTGTCCCCACTAGTGCTAATGTGGGTCCCATACAGGCAGGGGAAGCTCCCCCAAGGAAGTGTAGGGAGGGAGCTGGACTCTCCAAAGCCTGGGGTAAGAGCAGAATTCAACTCCTGGGTTCATGCCACTCTTCTGAAGATGAAAATTTGTTTCGGGCCTTGGTAACTCTTAGAGATATAAACCTCTAAGCACTGTGGACTTGATCTCTTTTTGTCCCCCCTCAAGCCTTAGGGGCCTCAAGCCCCTCTTTAATAGTCCTTGACCTTCTGGGTCCTCAGCCCTAAACTTCCCTCCTCCCAAAAGCCCTTCTCCCCGTTCCTCCCTCCACCCTTACCTACACGCAAAGAGGAGTAGATTTCAGCCAGCTTACCCAGGTGAGAGATCCCAAGCCTCCCTCCCAGGCCAGGGGCAGAGTCCACTCTGGGCTCACTTCAAGGCCAGTTCTTGTGGATGCGTGAGCCAAGCTGGCACCCCTTTGCCTGGTCTTGCTCAGGATCTCTGTCCCCCTCTAATTTCCTGGGGGAGGGATCTGTATTTATCCCCTTTCCCTTCCCTTCCCTATAGAAGTCCCTCTCCTAAGCTCCCTTTCTAGCCCAAGACAGCCCCAGAACTGGAGAAGCCTTGACCTAAAAAGAGTGGGGAGGGCACTCTGGGCAGGAGTAACATTAATGAGCCTGGCTGTGGAGTGGCCCTGGGAAGGCAGACCAGAGTGGCTGGGAGTGGGGTGTGCCTGTTCTCTCAGTGATAGTTATTGGGGTGCCTTTCCCAGGGGATGGGGTGGGGCGCTAAGTGGGTAAAGGGTGGATAGTGTATATTCAGGAGGATTTTCCTCCATTTCTTTTTTCTAACTGCCTGGATTCACCATTGGATTTTGTAAACGGAAAAACTGAAATGAACAATGCGATATTGGATGTTTTCTCTTTCTGGCTGTGTTGTGTGCCTGTGTGTCCTGTCCATGTGACCACGTGTGAGGAGGTATGCTTGAGTGAGACACTGTGTGTCTGTGTGACTTTGTGTGGGGAGGCACCCCTGAGGAAAACTTGCCTGATGCACACATATGAGCAAATGCCTGTATGTGGAGATATATACAAGCATGCATGTGCACACACACACATACACACACACACACAAATATGCACCTAGGTGAGAGGAGACAAACTATAGTATGTGCCTGTGGCAGCAAGTAGAGTGGTTAGAGAGATGGAATTTGAAAATTGTATGTGTGTGTTTGCATAGCAAGAGGGTAGACTCCTGTCTCATAAGATCTTCCTCCCTTTGACTAGACACTGAGCATAGGGGCCAGGATACTTGAAAACCCTATCTCTTCCCAAAGTCTGGAGCCCTCAGGCACCACCCTCAAACCCTGTCTCAGTCTTCTACTCAAAACTTAAATAAGGTGTTCCTGAAACTGGACCACCATGGAGAATGGGAACTGGGAATTCGAGATAAAACTTGGGGGAACTCAAAGGGGTAGGAAATACCTCCCTTCAATAAAGTAATGGCTTCTGGAGGGACTGCAAAGTCTGGGATGGGAGCCCTTCCTAAGGGTTCACTGTATACAGCTGGGACTTTGGTAAGCTTTGACTAAATTCAGAGGGAGGGATGGCACAGGGGAGAAAACCGAAGTCTGGGAGTCTACCCAGCCAGCCTGCTCCCTAGGCACTCAGTTAATTAACAATCTATTTATTTACTTATTCTCCCAGTTGTACAGAATTGAGTTGGCCATACTCTCCAGTTCTTGGCACACTGTATCATCATTGGTCCATGCGAAGCCCTTTTATTTTTAATTTTGTTTTGTTTTTTTCCCCTTCATCACCCATCCCTGATCCAATTCCCCTCCTCCACATAAGCACCCACTCTCGTGTATTTAACGTATGTCCTTCCAATCCACCGGTTATGTGTTTATTTACATATATGTGTATCTGTGAAAAATATATGGTATTGTTGTGTGTTTTAATTTACATAAACAGTATTGTACTATAAATCTTGTTCTGTTTCTTTTTTCACTCAACATTCTGTTTTTGAGAGATCCAGCCTTGTTGCCATATGTAGATCTAATTCATTCTAGTGGTCCATCTTATATCACATTTTTCTTATCCATTCCCCTAATGATGGATCCCTATGCTGCCTCCAATTCTCTGCTACTACAAGGCTGCAATGGGAAGTCTCCTACACATCTTTATTGGGACATCTAATTTAGAGGAGAAGAAACTGAAGCTCGGAGATTAGCAATATTTTGGTTGGGGTTACAAAGTGAGAGGCAGAATCCCAGACCAAAGCCAGAGCTCTACCACCATACCTCTCAAGAGCGCATCCATCTCCAACCAAAAAAAAAAAAAAAAAAAAAAGACCTGAAATACAATTAAAAACAGCCAACATCAGGGAAAGGGAGAGTAAAGGATGAAAAGGAGGGGGACTATTTAGTAGATGAAGAGATAGCAAGTCCTAGAAAAATCTAGCAGATGAGCTGTATCACATTAATGACGCACAGGAACTTACGATTTTTGTGATTATTACTTCCATAGCCATTTTGCAAATGTGGAAAACGCCATGGCAAAACCTAGCCCCAAACCAAAGGCCTTGGGTTTCTAAATTCCAGGCTCGTTTAGGGCAACCTGAGTCCCGAGGGGCCATATCAGAGTTCGCCCCAGGCGCAAAACCAGAGGATGGGTGAGGGGCAGATTTACCAAGTGCGTAGTCGCTGAAAGGGGAAAAAATGATAGCGAGGCTCTCTCAATTTTATTTGAGCACATCCTGCTCAGTGCCTTTGTTTGTTTGGTGTTTTGTTGTATTTTGTTTTGTTCTTTGGTCTTCAGAACCACTGCTACTTTTCCCACTGGATCAAGCATTTGGAGAGTGAGAGGGACCAGCTACTGCACCTCGGCTTTCCTCCCAGCCAATCGCCTTGCATTTCCCTCTCGTTGCTGGCGGAGTCAGCCCGATGATTGGTGGGTCCAATAGGAGCCAATCAGAACGTGATTACGTGTAGTGTTGGCAAGCAGAGTGCTTGAGAGTGGGCTGGGGGTCTAGAGAGGGCTGCCGTGGGCGACTGGCAACCAATGGCGAGGCAGAATGGGCCCCTTGCGTCTGGGAGAGGGCGGGACATCGGCGATTGGCGCGGAGGGAGTAGGTTAGGCGCTGTGGGAGGAAACAGCAGAGCTAGGCGGTGACGGGGGCCTGGTCGTGTGAGAAGCGGCAGCTGCACTTCAGGTGTGACTGGCAGCGAGTCTGTGGTGGGAAGCGAAGGGGCGAGCGCGATCCCCTGAGCTGTGTGATCGCCGTCACCATGGACCGCCCGGATGAGGAGCCTCCAGCCAAGACCTGCCGCCTGAGCAGCCCCGAGCTCCCTCAGCGCGACCTGCCGCCGCCGCTCCTGCGGCTGCCTCTGCCTCCACCTCAGCAGCGCCCGAGGCTCCAGGAGGAAACCGAGGCGGCACAGGTGCTGGCTGACATGAGCGGGGGGAGACTGGGCCCCGCTCTGCCCCCGCCGCCACCCTATGTCATTCTGGAGGAGGGGGGGATCCGCGCGTACTTCACCCTGGGTGCTGGGGGTCCCGGCTGGGAGCCTGCGATCGAGTCGGGGTACGGGGGGGCGCCCCCTCCCACGGGAAGCCTGGAAACACTCCCTACTTCCGAGGTTTCTGGGGGAAGCCTGGAAATCGGCTTTCAGGTTACCGGGCCCAGCAGCCTTGCTGGGGAGAAGGCCCGAGAAACCTGTAGCGCAGGGGGGCAGCGGTCCCAGAGGTTAGCTGGTCCAAAGAGGAAGGAGGAGGCTGTCATCATAGTGGAAGAAGAGGATGAGGATGAAAAGGGAGGTGAGAAGAAGAGGAAGAGGAGGAGGAGGAAGCAGAAGAAGGTGAAGAAGGAAAGCAAAGAGAGGAATGCCGAGAGGATGGAGTACATCCTGCAGGCACTGGAGAGTATTCAACTGGACTTGGAGGCGGTGAACATCAAGGCAGGCAAGGCCTTCCTCCGTCTCAAGCGCAAATTCATCCAGATGCGAAGACCCTTCCTGGAGCGCAGAGACCTCATCATCCAGCATATCCCAGGCTTCTGGGTCAACGCAGTATCCTTGTCGTCAATACTCATGGACCGGGAGCCCATGACAGGAAAGGGGGGTTGGGGGAGGGTTAGACTGTACGAAAGGATGTGGGTGAGGGCCAAAGATGGGGTTGGGCTCACCATCAGAAGAATGACTAGGTTTGGTGGAGGAGAGATGGAAGGAGGGGGACAAAACAGAAAAGAAGCTGGAGTATAGATGGTGAAGGGGGGAGGGGGTCACACAGCATAAAAACTAGACCACAGATGGGAAAGGGGGGGAGAGGAGAGGCATAGCATTAAAAAAAGGATCACAGGTGGTGAAAGGGGGAGGGTAGTGAGGGGCACATAATAGAAAAGTTGGACCAGGGATGGTGAAAGGACAGGAGGGACACAAAGAAGATAAACTGCCTCAGAGACAGGCAGAGGGAGAGAAAAGGCATATAGCAGAAAAATGAACCCAGAGAGGGTGAAGAGGGAAGGGAGGGATACAGCAGAGAAATACCCAGAAAGAGTGTCTAAGTCATACATGGCTCTACAAGCCTAGGTGTCTGCTTAGACACTAGGGAGACCCCAGTCCTGGATGGAGCCCCCCGCATTGGAGGGAAGTGGGATAGAGGGGCTGGAGCTCCTGCAGTATCAGGAAAGGGAGAGCCTGCGTGTGGAGGGATCAAGGAGTTAAATGAAGGAAAGGGAAGGGTGAGAGGAATCCCATTCACTACTGGTGCCACATGTTAAGAACACATGGGTTTAACATCCTGAAAGAGCATTAAATGGATACAGACCCTTCACATCCTGATACAAAGCATCACATGATCACAGGTTCTTAGCACCCAGACACACAGCATCGTCTGATCGCAGGCTCCCAACATGCAGATACTGTACACAACATCATATGTTCTTGGGCCCTTAGCACCGAGACATGACATCACATGACCATAGGCCTCCAGCACACAGACACACAGGATCATATAAACACATTTTCCCAGCCCCCAGACACAGGTTTACATGGACACAGGACCTTAACAACCAAACACACTGTATCATCTAGACACAGGCCCTCAACACGAAAACAGGCAGTAGCATATGAACAAAGGCCTTCAGCACCCTTACACACAGTATTTTGTGGACACAGGACTCAGCCAGCACCCAGATACAGCATTATGTGACTATGCGCCCTCAGCACCAGACACACAACATCATGTAGATACAAACCAACACCCAGACATACATCATGGGACCACAGGCCCTCAGCAACCAGATACAGCATCACTTGACACAGGTCCTCAGCCCGAGACACACGTCTTATGAACACAAGCCCTCAGCACCCAGAAACACAACACCACATGGGCATAGCCCTCTTAGTACCCAGACATACAGCAATTATATGAACTGTGGTCAGGCCACCTAACAGACGTTTAACATTGCATTAATGTGGGCTCTCACCACATAGACAGTATCATGGGAATAAAAGTACGGGACATGTCCCATGACCTATTTGCTCCACAAACATCACGCTAACACAGGAGGAATCCTCTTGCTCTAGCCTCTCTTCTCTGCCCTGCCTGGCCCTTCCTTCTTCCCTCCCTCATTGAACAGTCAATCCTTGACCTAAACTGCTCCCCTCATCAGTTCCTCAACCACCCCAAAATTTCAATCTTGATCAACCAACGTGATGAAGACATTTTTCGCTACTTGACCAATCTGCAGGTCAGGCCAAAGAGACATTTGGTAGTAGGACCAGGCAAGGAATCTGGTCCTTGGACGTGAGGGGGGTGGGTGGGAGGGGCCATGGTGTGACAGGGACAGATTCTGCCATTACCCCTGAGCAGGTGCAGGATCTCAGACATGTCTCCATGGGCTACAAAATGAAGCTGTACTTCCAGACAAACCCCTACTTCACAAACATGGTGATTGTCAAGGAGTTCCAGCGTAACCGCTCAGGTAAGAGGCAGTCCCAGGGCAAGTCCATCCCCTTATCCAGTCCCCTCTCCATAGCCTCCTTTTCCCTCAGGCCGGCTGGTGTCTCACTCCACCCCAATCCGCTGGCACCGGGGCCAGGAACCCCAGGCCCACAGGCACAGGAACCAGAACACTAGCCACAGCTTCTTCAACTGGTTCTCAAACCATAGCCTCCCAGAGGCCGACAGGATTGCTGAGGTAGGGCCCCTCCTGGCATTTGCAGAGAAGGCCTTGCTAGGCTTGCTCCTGGGTACCTGGGGAAGTGGGAGTACACGTCTGGGGCCTATACTCATGGCTTTCTTCTCCCTTCTCCCCTCTCTTTCAACAGATTATCAAGAATGACCTGTGGGTTAATCCTCTACGCTACTACATGATGGGAGAAGGGGGCTACAGGGCGAACAGAAAGAAGCAAGAGGAGGAAAGGTGATGGGGGTTGGTGGCTGAGAGGTGGTTTGTTAGGGATCAGGAAAAGACTAGGCTAGTGTCATGCAAGACTTATAGAGCCAAAAGGGACCTTTGAGATTATCCAGTCCAATATGTTTTACAAGTGGGGAAATGATACCCAGAAATAGGGTGTGATTGCCCTGAGATTATATAGTCAGGGATAGAAATGAAACTCTCCCCACCCCAGCCTCATCCCTGGGAGCCCTTATAGCCTACTGGATCCCCAGTTATCACCTTTCAGTGTGTTCCCTGGGTACACCCCTACACACACAACAACCCAATACTCAGCCTCAGGCTCCCCTACAGTAATACCAAGGATGAATGTGAGGTGATGATCCTGGAAGATTCTGATGACTATCAAGCAGTGAAAGACATTATCAACGAGACCTCAGACAGTGATGCAACATCCGACAATGAAACCATTTATGACATCAAGGTCTCTGACTTCATGGAGACGACCGACTACTTCGAGACTACTGACAATGAGATAACTGACATCAGTGAGAGTCTCTGTGACAGTGAGAGCCCTGATCACAACAAGAGCCCTAACGATGAGACCACTGATAACAATGAGAGCGCTGATGACAATGAGACCACTAACAACGAGAGTGCCAATGATGAGAGCCCCAGCAACAACAGTGAGAACTCTGATGACAACAGTGAGAACCCTGAAGACAATAACAAGAATGCCAATGACAATGAGAATCCCAATAACAATAATGAAAGTCTTGACGACAATGATGAGAATGCTGATGGTAACTGCAACAAGAACCTCAATGGAAATGATGAGAGCCCTGAGGGTGGTAACCAGAACAACGATGGCAACAACCAGGGCAGTGGTGATAGTGACAATGAAGGAGATATCGAGGGCAGTGATGATGAAGATAATGATGGCAATGAAGGTGACAATGAGGGCAGTGATGATGATGGCAATGAAGGTGACAATGAGGGCAGTGATGATGATGATGATGGAGACATTGAGGGCTATGAGAATGACTTTGCCGATCCTGACCAGAATCAAGATAACAGCAACAACCAGAATGACAATGAGGATGAGGTAGAGGACATCTCAGAAGAAGAGTCAGAGGAAGAAGAAGAGGAGGGCAATGAGGAAGGTGAGCTAGACCCCCTCTTGCCTCCCCTCCTCTCTTCTCTCAGAGAAAGGCTGTCCAGGGGCAGGGGATCAAGGCATGAACACAGTCTGCTCTTGTGGAGCAAAGAGAAAGCATTCTGTGTGGCTTTTTAAACAAAGCCCAGGGAATGTTTAACTTCCAAATCTAACAAAACCAAAGAAATGGATTTCGGTTCTTGCTGATGGGTAGACAGGATGTGACAGAGCAAAAGACAAATGAAGTGTGGACAGAGAGATGGGAGATAGTGGGTAGAAAACTAAAAAGAACAACTCACACGTGCATGCACATGCGTACACGCACACACACAAACAGGAAAAATAGTGGCAATCACATTGCAATTCAACACACTCTGTACCCAGCCCTGGCTTTCTGGGAACTCCCAGGTTTGTTTGGGGGCAGGTGTGTGGAGGTGAAGTGAACAGTGCACTCTGTGAGCCCAGAGGAGGAAGCAGCTAATTCTACCTGAAGAGTGGGAAAGGGGAGAACTAGAGAAAGGAGGTGACATTTCAATTGGAAGCTGCATTCATACTGAGGAGCATTATAGAGCATTTTCTGAGGGAAGGGATCACATGAGCAAGGACCTGGAAGGGTGAAAATACATAGTACAAGGACCCTTCACTAGCTCTGAAAGCTGCTTCTCTCAAAAAAGGATTCAGTGGTCAAATATGCTGGGGAAATACTGCGCACAATAATATCCTCTTGTAGAGTCACATGCACCTTAAAGGTTCTGAGAAGCCCTGTTGTAAGAAACCTATTTAACTTTGTGGAACCCAGCATTTCCCAAACTTCTTTGACCACAGACGCTACTGTTCACTGCTCACCAAAGAACACACTTTGGGAAATGCTGAAGAAAGGTTGCATGTGGGGGTTTGAGGGAAAAAGGCAGATTTAAGGTGACTCCCAGGTTTGTTTCAGACCTCGATGGCTGGTAAAAGGAGGTGGCATTTCCTGGGATGGGGAATGGTGTGGTGGTAGGATTGGTGGGGTGGAGGAAGGAGCTTGAAAGTTGGAAGGGCTTGTTAGAAATCTACGTACAGGTGGCTCAGAGGCAGGTGATTGGTTATATGTCTGGGAATGAGGTAGATACTTGGAAGTTGTAAAGAAAGGGGGTAACAAGCCAGAGCAGACTCTTAACCCTAAGGCCACTAACATTTAAGGGCTGGGGAGAATTATGGGTTCAGTTAACAGTAATGAAGTGCTTACTATGTGCCAGGCACTATTTTAAGTGCTTTTCTGTTTTAACTCATTTAATCCTTTACAGCAACTCTTTACAGATGAGGAAACTGAAGCTATGATTGGGTAGAGTCAGAAGAACTAGGTCATGGAATCTTTCATTCAATGCCCAGTGCTGCTGAAAGGTCAAGTGAAATAAGGACTGGGATGTGTCCATTGGATTTGGGGCTAAATAAATCATTTATGACCTTGTTGAGAGTAGTGTTAGGGGATCAATGAAGCCAGATCACGGGAGGAAGGGGAGGATAAGCTGGGAGTAAGGTAATGGAAGAGGATAGCAGGGGACAGGCAAGGAGATATTTGAGCCTGGCTGTAGGCATACAAAGGAAGGGAAGTAGGCTCCTGAGGAAGGTGGAAGGGGCAGGAAGACCCATCAGTCTTGGGGTTTTGGGCCATGGGTTCCCTGGCAAGCTTCCATTGAGGGCAGGGGTGGGGCACAAAGGAAGAAGTCATTGTGAATAAATAGATGCTGACTCAATCTATTTTCAGGTAGAATAGGGAAGCAGGTGGTTGTGGGTCCTCTTCCATCTCACACCTGATGGTATCTCTTCTGAGAAGGGGAGGCAGAGCTGTCTACCCATTCCTGGAGTGTAAGGAGGGGCGGAGGGGGGGAGTTGGTCTGAAGATGACAGACTGGGTCCTCTTTGGATCAACCTAGGGAAAACGAGTAAGGGGAGGTTTATTCAGTTGAGGTTGGAGCTCAGAAAGAGAAGCACATTGAGGCATACAGGAGGAAAAAAAGCTACTTTCAGAGATGTGTCAGTCTTGACAGAACAGAGGCAGGGACCCCACCCTGCCTTCCTGCTTCCCTTCCATTCCCCCTCACTCTGTGGGCTTGCTTGAGTTCATACGTACACTCTTGGCTGCTTAAGCACGCAGAGGCACTTGGCAAGTGGTCCCAGACCTCCAAAAGCCGTAGCTGTAGGCTCTGTACCCTACTAGAATGACATCTACCTGCCCATCTAACCTCCCTCTTCCATTTCCCCCTCCTTGCCTCTCTCTTCCCTGTGCAGGCAGTGAGCAAGAAGGGGAGGACAGCGATGACGAGGCAGGAGGCAAAGACTCCGACATAGGGGAGGTGCTTCAGGCCCAAAACTCGTGGGTCAACCTGGGGAAGTGGGGGAAACCAAGATAAACGCCTTACCCTTGGTAGGAGGAGTCTCTGCATACTCCTCCCCGTTCCCCTTTGCCTTCCCCCTCAGCTAGGGCCGTGCGGCCCCACATTGCTCTTTTGAGGGGTGACCGACATCGTACACAGGTGTAGTTTTTATGGTTTAGTAATTGCAGAGTTCTTATTTTGAGGGGGGAGGGAAAGGGGGACTCCCCCTTCCATCTGCCCCCTCCTCCCCCGTAGTAGGCTTCTGTGTGCTGCTAAACGTATTTATAGTGTTGCCTTTGTCGGGGCGTCTCAATCTCCTCCTAGTCAGTGTTGGTCCCAGCGCCCTCCCCCACCGCGCGGTATATAGAGTGGACACTGATCCAGAAGCGGGGAGGGCCAATGTGGCCTTGGGGGGCTCTGCTGCCATTCTGACCTCCCAAGCCCCTCTCTCCCGCTTCATCCCTCTCCTCTCTTTGCCATTCAGCTAGCCCGCCTTGAGCGCAAGGCCACTTCGCCATTGCCGCATTCCCGCACCCCTTCCCCCAGAAGCCCCGCCTCATTCTCTGTGAACCCTGATAATAAAATTCTAAGCAAATTCAAAGTGCCGCTTCTTGTCATTTGTCCCGCCCGGTGCGCCGTCCCCAGCGGCCAGTCTCCCTTCCCACAGGCTCTCAGGTAGCCACTTCATCTATGCAATGACAGGCAAGATTGTGGTTGCGGGGAGATTGGCTGGCTCGGGGGCAAGTTCCGCCCAGCCGCTGAGGTGTTGCGTCAGACCAATGCGGACGGCCTTGGCCAATGATAGGGCGATGCTGAGGAAGCCCCTCCCGTCCCTGGCGGCTGCAAGGGACTCAGCGGGTAGTGAAGAGCGGGGTACCACTTCACTCACGCAGGCGCACAGACGCCCTGCGCCTTAGAATATTTATTTAATGATTCATCTTTTCATTTATTGTGCGTCACATCTTTCCTCAGGCTTAAGTGGAAGCCGGGCATGGGGGAACCAGAGGAATCCATTTTTCTCGTGCGCATGTAATAGAAAAAAATTATATCGGTCCAGATATCACAACAGTGATGCAGAAGCGCTCTCCCTTCTCAAGGAGGGGGTTCAGGGTCCCTGGACCTGCGCTTGGGAGAGAAGGCAGGAAAAGAGGGCTCAGGACGAGGAGCTTGTGTACGCAAAGGCATAGAGATAAGGGAAATTACTATGTACCTGTGCGATGGGGGTTGGAGGGAATTGGGCATCTGAAAGGCAAGCTTTATCTTGGAGACCTTGGACAGGCTGAGTTTTAGTTTTTGGATATAGTAACTTTATTTCAATGGACACCAGAAATATCTCCCAGATTCTTTCTGGATCATAACGATACATGTATCTTCTACAATTCGCCTCCTGAACTTTCTGTCCAACGCCCTTGTTTCGCCGGAAGGCTTCAGATACGGTCAGGTTTGCGTTTTAGAGAATGCCTTCTACTGACTGTCAGGAGAATAGATCGGAGGGACGGAGAACAATGGAGGAAGTTGATGCTATACCTCAGGTGAGAGTGACATGGTGAAAAGCGATATGAGAGTTGTGTTGTTTGTTGTTGTTTTTAATAAACTATTTTAGAACAGTTTTAGATTTACAGAATGTCTTAGTTATCTAGTGCTGCTATAACAGAAATACCACAAGATGATGACGTTAACAAGAGAAGTTTTTTCTCTCAAAGTCCAGTAGCTAGAAGTCCAAATTCAGGGCCTCAGCAACAGGGCAAGGCTTTCTCTCTCAGCTCTGGAGGAAGGTCCTTGTCATCAGCCTTCCCTTGGTCTGGGAGCATCTCAGTGCAGGAACCTCAGGTCCAAAGGACACGCTCTGCTCCCAGCACTGCTTTCTTGGTGGTATGAGGTCCCCATGTCTCTCTGCTCACTTCTCTCTTTTATATCTCAAAAGAGATTGGCTTAAGACACCATCTATAATCTTGTAGATCTCATCAATATAACCGCCACTAATTCATCTCATTGCATCATAGTGATAGGATTTACAATACATAGGGCAATCACATTAGATGACAAAATGGTAGATAATCATACAATACTGGGAATCATGACCTAGCCAAGTTGACAGGTATTTTTTGGGGACACAATTCAATCCATGACACAGAATTAATGTGAAGATAATACAGAGTTCCCATGTACCCCACACCATTTGTCCTATTATTAACATCTTACATTACTGTGGTACACTTGTCACAATTATGAACCAATAATGAACCAGTATTGATATACTATTATTAACTAAAGTCCACGCTTTATTCATATTTCCTTAGTTTTTACCTAATGTCTTCTTTCTGTTCCAGGATATCACTTAGATTTAATTATCATGTCTCCTTAGACTCATCTTGGCTGTGACAGTTTCTCAGACTTCACTTGTTTTTGATGACCTGTAGTCATCAATGTTTTGAGGAGTACTGGTGAGGTATTTTATAGATGTCCCACAACTGGGATTTGTCTGATGTTTTTCTCATGATTAGACTAGGGTTATGAGTTTTTTTGGAGGAAGACCACAGAGATAATGTGCTATTCTAAACATATCATATCAAGGGTACATACTATCAACATGATTTATCACTGTTGATGATAACCTTGATCACCTGGCTGAGGTAGTATTTGTCAGGTTTCTCCACTGTCAGGTAACTTCCCTCCACCCCCACCCCCCCATACTGTACTCTTTGGAAGGAAGCCACAAAGCACAGCGCATGCTTAGGGAGTGGGGAGTTATGCTCCACCTCCTTGATGGAGAGTATCTGAATAAATTAATTGGAATTCTTTTGCATGAGAGATTTTTCAATTCTATGAACCCGTTTAGGAGGTTGGAGTCTACAGGATTCAGATATGGGAAGAGACGGACAGAGAGGAGTTTGGCAAGGTCCCTCCCCTCTGTGGGTTTCCTCTGTGAAATGGTTATAATACCAGTGCTTGGACATCACTCCCCATGATTCTGATAAATGTGTTGGGGATAGGATGGAAGCTTTGATGCTTCTGGTTCTGGCCTTGAATCACACTATTAGAGGTGGGTAGAGGACACTAAGGCCCAGAAAGGGGGACATCTTCACTGAAGACCAGGGAAGAGAGATCCCATTTCTGGGACCTTAAACAGAAACCAGGAGGAGGATATGGAGTCAGGCCTGATCCCACGCTGAAGATACTTTGGTATCTGTCATAGATTGAATTGTGTCCCCCCAAAATATGTGTCAACTTGGTTAGGCCATGATTCTCAGTATTGTGTGGTTGTCCTCCATTTTGTGATTGATGTGATTTTTCCTATGCGTTGTAAGTCGCACCTCTATGTTGTTAATGAGGTGGGCTAGGTGGCAGTTATATTAATGAGGCAGGACTCAATCTACAAGATTGGATTGTGTCTTGAGCCAATCTCTTTTGAGATATAAAAGAGAGAAGCGAGCAGAGAGACGAGGGGAACCTCACACCACCAAGAAAGCAGCAAGACAAGCTCCTCGACCAGGGGAAGATTGATGACAAGGACCTTCCTCCAGAGCCAACAAAGAGAGAAAGCCTTCCCCTGGAGTTGATGCCCTGAATTTGGACTTGTAGCCTACTGGACTGTGAGAGAATAAATTTCTCTTTGTTAAAGCCATCCACTTGTGATATTTCTGTTACAGCAGCACTAGATGACTAAGACAATTTGGTACTGAGAGAGTGGGGTGCTGCTCTAATAGATACCTGAAATGTGGAAGCAATTTTGAAACTGTGAGTAGATAGAGGACTCAGAAGGAAGTGAAGAGAACTGTTAACACCCGAGACCACACTGATGATGAGAAGCAGCAGCAGCAGAGAAGCGGAAGCAGCAGAACCAGAAGACCAGCACCAGACAATGCTGGAGCTGACCCACGGAGCAAGACAGCTGAGTTCCTGTGCGAAGGAGGCTTTCTGGTGGAGTAGGGTGCCTCCAGGCACTTATCGGTGGAGCAAGGCTTGCCGACCAACCCACGGAGAAAGAGAGCTGAGTGCTTGTGCAAAGGAGGCTTCCTGGCAGAGTTGGTTGCCTCCAGGCACTTATCAGTGGAGCTACAGAACACTTGCCCCAGCAGGGCAGACACGGGCGGAGAGGCCCAAGGAGCTGAGAGGCCAAGGAACCAGGAAGTAGAAACTTAAGAGACAAGGAACACAGGAAGCAGAGCTGCCTCAGTTTGAAAGGGTATGGCCATGAACTCTGAGGTTTCAAAGGGTGGAGTTGCCACTCAAATGTACTAGGAGAATGGTGCACCTAAAGCTGAGGGAGCAGAGTTGCCATCCCAGTGGGCCTGGAAGGCAGAGCTGAAGCCCAGGGCCGAGGGGCCTCCACTGAGAATCTGGAGAGTATGGCCAACACCTAGAGTCTTGGAGGGCAGGGCCATTGTCTAAATGGTCTCAGAGAACAGAGGACTTTTTTTTTTCAAATCCTTGAGGGCTAATGTAATGTATTCTGCTGACTTGCTTGGTGCCTGTTATCCCTTCTTTCCTTCCAATTTCTTCCATTTGTAATAGAAATGTCTACCTTGTGCCTGTCCCATCATTGTACTTTGGAAGCAGATAACTTGTATTCTAGATTTCACAGATAAAGAGGAATTTTTAGATTTTGGACTTAGAGTTGATTTAAGACTTTTGCTATGACATGATGGTGTGAATATGTTTTACATGTGACAAGGACATGAATTTTTGGGGGTCAAAGTGTGGAATGTCATGGATTGAATTGCGTCCCCCCAAAATATGTGTCTACTTGGTCAGGCCATGATTCCCAGTATTGTGTGGTTGTCCTCCATTTTGTGATCGATGTGATCTTCCTATGTGTTATAAATCCTACCTCTATGATGTTAATGAGGTGGGATAGGCGGCAGTTATATTAATGAGGCAGGACTCAATCTACAAGATTGGATTGTGTCTTGAGCCAATCTCTTTTGGGATATAAAAGAGAGAAGCCAGCAGAGAGACAGGAGGAACCTCATACCACCAAGAAAACAGCGCTGGGAGCAGAGCTCATCCTTTCGACCTGGGGTTCCTGCAGAGAGAAGCTCCTTGACCAGGGGAAAATTGATGACAAGGAACTTCCTCCAGAGTCCACAGAGAGAGAAAGCCTACCCCTGGAGCTGACACCCTGAATTTGGACTTGTAGCCTACTAGACTGTGAGAGAATAAATTTATCTTTGTTAAAGCCATCCACTTGTGGTATTTCTGTTATAGCAGCACTAGGTGACTAAGACAGTATCCTTCCAAGCTCATGCAACTCCTGTGCAGCAGAGGGCTCTGTTGCCAGGTATGAAGTTCCCAGGATCTCCTTTAAAGTGCCACCCACTCCTGTGAGCATAATTAGATTGGCAGGGACAGAACTAGATTCAGGAATGTCCCTCCTTCTTAGGTGACCAAAAGAACCAGCCGTGGCTCCCCCAGTAGGGGGCGTGGAGGATGGTTGGGGAGGAATCCTATTATTCATTCAACAAACACTTATTGAGCACCTACTATGTGACAGGTAATGAATTGGGTGGTAGGGATACAACAAGGAAACAAGATAGACCAAATCTTTGTCATCTTGGAGCTCATAG